GCCGACCTCCTGGTGGTCATTGCCGATGACGGACCTCGGCTTCTTCTTCTGCATTCCAGATACCCCACCCCCGCACCCCACTGACACTTCTTCAGCGTGACCATGGAGCTGCTGCTGGAGACCTGGTGCTAGCTTCGGATGGCGGCAGCCCGGTGGTGACCTTGAAGTGGTCTGGAATCCCCACTGCTATACTACTCCCAGAATTTCATGATCAAATATTTAAAAATTGATGAAGAATTAAATACCAAAGTGTTCCCCAGAATGAGACCAGATTCTATATCACTCACAGCAAAAGTGGATAAACTGATTTGTGCTTTCGGCGCACGGTATTTAAAACTCCATAGAGAAGTCCATTTCATTAATGTTGTATCGAGAAAAATGAGAGAATTGGCCCGATTGGTCATCGAGGCGAAAAAGATGGATTCTAGATACAAAGATTTATTTGAAATTCTTAGACCGGAAAATTTTGATTTAATAGTACAAGCAACAAAAAAAGTTGCTAATTATGATAATCAAACAGAATCGTATAAATCTGCAACATATGCCATGAATATAAGCACATCTTTAAAGCAATGTTGTGATATCATCATTTTGTGTGCTTTGAAAAAAAAGACATATATGGAAATGTGTCTAGTGCGAGTATAGAAGCTGACGTGAAAACGTTAATTCACTTAATTAATGAAAACTGGAGATTTGAAGTTTCGACCCAGGCCATGAACACTTTAAATATGAATAAATGGAACAAGGTAACTATCATACCCCTAGCGAGTGATTTAAAACTTCTTAAAGACTACCTAGTTGACAAAGGAAACCAAGCAGCAGCAAAACTGGTAACATCATCTGCATCAGAAAATGAGTACAAAATTTTAATTGCAACTGTGTACTGCAGAGTCATTTTGCTAAACCGAAAAAGGCCCGGGGAACTACAAAGGCTTCTGCTAAAATCTTACCAATATTATTCTACGAATAAACAAAATTACGAAGTTTGAAGGCGCAATTTCAGCAACTGAAAAAATTTTAATGAAAAGATTTAAACGACTCGTTATTCGGGGGAAACGAGGTCGTGGTGTACCTGTGTTATTTAGTACAGATGTCCAAGAACATATAGATTTGTTAATAAAATATAGGTCTCAGTTTTTGAACAAACCTAATTCGTATTTGTTTCCGAATATAAATTCTCTACAACCAGTTACTGGATACAAGATAATACAAAAATATGCATCGTCTTGTGGAGCAAAAAATCCGCAAGGATTAACATGCACAAAATTACGAAAGCATTTGGCTACATTATCGCAAGTTTTCAACATGTCCGAATCAGATTTAGAACAATTAGCAACGTTCATGGGTCACACGGTAGGCATCCATTGTCAATCATACAGAATACCAGATGATGTTTATCAGACCTCAAATATTGCGAAAATATTACTCTTGATGGAAAAGGGTGAAATTGGAAATTTTAAGGGCAAGACACTAGACGAAATTAATATTAACATGGAAGACGATCTTTTTGCAGAAACAAATGAAATAGAAGATATAGAAACTAGAGAAATGAACCAATTGAGTACGATGCAACAAACAATAGTGAAGGTCTATATACCAGAAATTCTGAAGACATTGCTTCTAATACAGAAAAATTAAAGTGTCCGAAAAAAGGACGGATATTAGTAAAATGGACAGAAGAACAAAAGAAAGTGGTTACATCATATTTCGCAAATCATATTAAAAAGAAAAAACCACCGAAAAGGGCAGAATGTGAAGATCTAATTCAGCAACATCAAGAGTTATTCAAAACAAAAGATTGGTTGAAAATTAAGGTTTATGTTCAAAATAAATATACCGGAAAATGCAAATAAGTAGGTATACTGTAAAAGAAAAATTTTAAAATTGTAAAATATTTTCTGTTCCATCTGTTTTCTACTCCAGAATAAAAAATCTTTTTATATCAAGTCAAAGTAGTTTCATTTTAATCCTTTCGAAAAAGCTAGGGCCGATAATTATAGTCGTTACTCAAATATCGAGTTCGCTCCACCTAGTTCTAAAATACAGTGTTGTAATATTCGACAATAAACTTTTAACGAATATTCTTTAGCCAAGTGCAAGAAAAAAATTCATAGGTCCTGAGCCGCATAGTTTCCAGGCATCAGAATAACACATTTTTTATCACTATCCTTTTTTTTATCATCTAATGGCACCCACGACAGCGACTATTATAAAATGACACATTTTTTGATATATCGATAAATTCTATTTCACTTGCTGTGATTTCTTTAATGGCCAGTTCTTCAGTATCATTATCTAGTAAATTTAAAAGATAACATCCTAAGAAAAAATACATTTCCTTGGAACTAATCCTGGACACTATCTTTTAGAAATACACAAATGTACCTATCGAATACTGATGGAGAAACCGGCCATTAATCTACAGTGTGAAAAAGTAATATAAAACTTTCCGTTAGTAGGCAAAAAATTCAATTTTATTCATCAATCCTTGTTTCTCTAAAACTGTTTCAGTAAAAAATGATAACAAAAGAACAAATAATTTAAAATGGCCTTTAATAATCAAATATTAGTTTCTACATTTTCTTATTTCTTAGTCCTGACTTAATAATATTCAAAATTACTCCATCAAAATTAACTCAATTCAATTGGGTTATCCCGCTGTCCCTGAAAATAAAAATTTGTAATTCAATTTAAAATAACTTACCTACAGTACCTACCTGTTTACTACTAACTTATAATTTCGCTTTTGCCTTGCATACATCTTTTTGTCCCACAGTATAATATGTATAAACTACTTCGTCTATTTTTCTTTTCCTTACAACTTAATAATTCTACTTTTCCGGTGTAACTGGAAATAAAAAAAATATTGTATAGTTCAAAGTAATTTAAAAAGATATCACTTACCTGTGAGTGCCTTCCCTCAATAACTATGCAGTGTGTCCCACAACGAGCGTGCATTCTATGTATTTAGGAAACCAGAATTGACATAGAGATCTAAATTTTCATTTCTAGTGGATTCCAACACTGGCGAGTTGAAACAAAATATTTACAATGGCACTTCCGGTTATACGGGAAGTAGATATCAACTAGCTTATTTTAAATGGAACACGATATTTTTTATTTGAATTTCAGACTCTGGGTCCAATTTTAAGTCGACTTCGTTACAGTATCCACGGTTAGAGTGGAAAAGAAGGAAAACATTTTTATTGTTCATTTTACGAGAAAAAGTAATTCTTGATTAAAATTTTTACTTGTCTTTAAAATACGGTTGGCACGGAGAACTTTAATTTTGCATGTACAGGGCGATCAAAAAATCAATAAATATGAAAAAGATTCAAGAATAAACTGTTTTTGTTTTTAACAATAAAAAAGTAGTTAAGGAAAGTTGTTTAAAATTGAAAGTTATGTTATACTTTTTATTTGTGAATAAAACAAAGGCATTGTATATTCTAAAATTATTTTAATTTCTTAATTCTTTCATCATTCTGTATATTCACAGTTAAAATTATGTTTATTATAACAAGATGCGAATGGATACATCAAGAATGCCAGTTTCTCGTAAAATGAACAATTAAAATATTTTAATTTCCGTTTATATCAAAGTTTCAATTCTACTTTCCTTATTAACATATTTTTGTATTGTTAATAACAAAGGCAGTTTATTCTTGTATATTTTTCATATTTTTTAATTGATTTTCTGGAACACCCTGTACATGAAAGATTAAAATTCTCCATGTCAACCGTATTTTAAAGACAAGCAAAAATTGTAATCATGAATGACTTTTTCTCGTAAAATTAACAATAAAAATGCTTTCCCTCTTTTCGCATCCAAAAATTGGCTTAAAGTTTCAAAAAACTTGTATATCTCTGAAATCTGGAAGGGGTGAACAACCCCCGATTCAGACACCCCCGTCTTACCTTTATATGTATGTAATATTTTTTGACAGCCGGCCGATTTCTAAACTAATAACTTTATTTAATTCTAACTTTCATTAAGAAACTATCTTTACTCTTGCATTTTTACAGTAAACCTTTTGGTTTTATAAAGAAAAATGCGATCTATTCATTCAAGGTATCATTGGTTCCAATTTACCTCTAATTACTAATAAACCTAAAATAAATACTATGAAAGAGATAGTAATAAACCTAAATAGTGTAATAAATATAACTGTTAAATCGTTTTAAAAATCTTCAACGTGTTCAAAATAACTGCAAGCCAATTTTTGGAGGCGAATATCTCCTAAATAAATTATGTTAAATCATTATAATTCCTCATACCATCTGGCAACAGTGCTAGCCGTCATATTATCCAATATATACAGAAGACGGTCGTGTCATTGGTATGAATTTTTAAATAAATATATATTTGGCCGTCGTATTCGTTGAATTTTGAATGTCGTCAAATTGATAGCAATTTGTGAAATTTAAAAGAAGTGCGTCTCGTACATCAAATCACCATAACGATTTTGGGAGGGGGTTCTTTAATATATTTGAAATATATAATATATATTCTCTGTATTTACAGTGGCTGCCAAATTACTTGTTTTTGTAAAGCCGTCGTATTGATAGCCGGATATATATATATACAGGGTGTAACTAAATAAGTGTAAAACATTTAAGGGGGTGATTCCTCATCGAAAAAAAGATAGGATCTTTCATATAAAGAAACTTCATTGGGGCATCCCTTGTTAAGATACAGCCCCTTAAAGGGGGTACATAAAATTTGTTTAACAATTTTTTTCACAAGCACTAAACAAGTTACAATATT